GAATTCCCCAGCCAGCCTGCTTTAAAATAAATAGACTTCAACTCCCAAAATTCCCAGCCGACATGCTTTAAGATAGACTTCAACTCCCAGAATTTGCCAGCTAGCCTGCTTTAAAATAGATAGATATAGACTTGAACTCCCAAAATTCCCAGCTGACATGCTTTAAGATAGGTAGACTTCAACTCCCAGAATTCCTCAGTCGAGATACTTTAAGATAGGTAGATTTCAGCTCCCAGAATTCCCCAGTCAATTTGATTTATGATGGGTGGACTTCAACTCCCAGAATTCCTGAGCAAGTTTGATTTACGATAAGTGGACTTCAACTTCCTGAATTCCAAGTCTTCCTGTTTTAAGATGTGTGGATTTCAGCTCCCAGAATTCCCTAGCGACTATGGGGAACATTAATCTATTGAGTATGGAACTTTAGTTGACTAGATTAATGTTAGCGTAAAGAATCAAGTTAAGTTGCAGTTCAGAGTTCATTAACTCTCAATCTTGTGCACTAAAATTTAGTCAATTAAAGTTCAGTGTTAAATTGGAGCCAGGTAAGAGTCAACAGAATTCAGGAGACGGACTTGAACCGTTTGTGGCAACGTAACGATTCTAAGCTGATGACACGCTTAATTCCGCCTCCAGCTCTTCTTGCTCCTCTTCTACACAACACAGACAAAATCCCAGAATTCATCCAAGGTAAAATGGACGTGCAGATCCTGGACTAGGATGGTCCCGCTATTGGAAAAAAGAGGCGGCCAACTTGAATGTTGTGAAAAGACAGCCAGTTGTAACACCACAGCTTTGAGTTGTTGGTTGACCTGGTTGTTGTTTCTGGAAGCAGATCTTTGGCCTAAAACCTGAGCGCTTGGCCTTCTCCTCTTCCAGGTCTTCCAAGATCTTCTCCTCTTCTGATTGTGAGGAATGCCGAGCTTTTTCTCCTCCTAATTGCATTCCTACTCAAATTGGATACGAGATCCCTGTTCTACCTAAAATAATGCTCTTCTTCTGCAAGAATGCAAGGAGAGAATATTTTTAATCTTCCAAGAATTCTCCATCCAGATCCTATGTCAGCGTTCCGACGATTGCCTTAATTAAACCATGAGCCTCAAGTCAAGCTTCAAAAAAATCCAAAAGATTTATTAGGAGAAACATGTCCGGCACTAACCCATATGAAGCCAACTCTGACACATGTAATTTACGATCATCTATGATCCTCTTTCCCCCCCACCCCCCTGGGTGTGTCACAAATCAGATTCTCCAATAAAGGATTTTCGTGGGTAGAAGATACGGTAGCCTAGGCTACAATCTTTGTAAGATAAGTGTGCAATGTACTTCTGGTTCCCCACTCCTCCTTATGGCAACTTGGAAACAGGCATAGGAATGATTTATGAGTTGACATCCTCCCTTCTTCATGGTCCAGCCTGGTCTTCAAGATTTTCAGAGTGATCCTCATAATCCATCAGAAAGTCACCCCCTTTTTGCTTTCGATTTCTCTGATTCTCCAGAATATGTTGCTGATCATTGGCAAGAAGACGCCTTCTTTGGCTACCAGTATCTGAATGGGGTCAACCCTTTGGTGATTGAGAAGTGCACGGAGATCCCGGCCAAATTCCCTGTGACCCAGGAGATGGTCGCTGAGTCCCTTGGAAAAACCACCACTCTCTCGGAGGAACTGCAGGTGAGCGGGCTGTGGTTTCTAGCTTTCTCTAGTAACTTGCCTTTCCCCAAAAACTCAACTAGGGTTGTGTTGACTTAGTGACGTTATCCAGTAGAGGAACTGGGGAATCTCCAAAGAGAATCAAAAGAGGGAAGATGTGGTTGCGACTCCATCCCTGAAACTGACCTTCTGACCTTCTGATCTTTCTGAAGCCATCCTCTTGACCTTGTGATCTTTCTGAAGCCATCCTCTTGACCTTGTGATCTTTCTGAAGCCATCCTCTTGACCTTGTGATCTTTCTGAAGCCATCCTCTTGACCTTCTGATCTTTCTGAAGCCATCCACTTGACCTTCTGATCTTTCTGAAGCCATCCTCTTGACCTTCTGATCT